AATGTTTGGGTTAAATCAATTTGATATTCAATATCAATATGTTATCATACGCGTGATAATGCATACATTATCAAAGGGTATCATCATACGTAAGAACCGATTTCCCTTGCTATAATAACGTATGAATATCGAATCTCAAACTGTTTAAATGAGAAAACGTGGTATCATGATGATCGTGAAATAAATATTATCTCTTAACCAATTACTATAATGGCGACTCCTTTAATTTGACTGCCATCTGATGAACTGTAATAATGTTGTAATTCAAATTTACAACTGTAATTATAAAAATAATCAATAATTACGTAGCAATTCATAAATATAAGTTACTGGTTAAATAACTTTCTTAGTTATCAATATATAATAGAACGCAAATATTATATACATAAATTCACACGATTCATGTTGGAGAATTAATTCAAAGCTCTCTTTTATGCGAAGCGAAACGATTTTTTTATGCATACGGTTATATGATTTAAAGCTCATATGTTCTCATAACAAAAAGTGAATAATAATCTTATAATATGAAAAAAGAAAAAAAAAAGAAAAACCATATCTCATCCGAAGAAGATGATATATTGTTAGCGACAATAAAATCGTTCCGGTTGCGCAAACTAATCGAAATCTATTGTATTTAAATTCTTCGTTTTATCTTTAAATTCTGTAACCAAGCGAAAATACGAAGAGAAATAATAATCATGGAATTATATGTATATTATTTGTATTTGAATGACGCATCATCTTGTCAAATCAGTGTTGGTCTCTGTTTACAATTTTACACTTTCGCGAATCTAAATATTTTCCACAGGCACAGATGTTCGAAAATTCTTTCTAGGTAATGTTTTTTGTATACCTGAATACTTTCCTCATCCTATCTCTATCTCTATTTATGGTCGCAAGAAATCACGACAATCTTTTCTTATAGCTGTGAACGTTTTCGCTCTCTATCGAATCACGTGCTTCGTTTAAACTTAATTCTATTATATCTTTCATGAAATAGCAGGAACGAGATTTAATTGACGATTTAACATGCATATTGAAAAAAAAACATATTCATATAGACTCACCGGTGCGATTGAGATGATCCGAAGTGGCGATCGAAAATCCAGTCGGCTGATCGAAGGCCGGCGTCCCGCCGTGC